GCTCTACGGGGCTTTTATTTCATCCGTGAATCGTTTATGTGGAAGATCCACATTAATCCGAAGCCCGAAAAGCCAGATAGGTTGGCAGCTATGAACTGGGATGGCGGGGTTGGCGGGGCCGCTTCTGCTTCCAACCCCGAGGAGCCGCGCGCCCCGGCGCCCCGGGCGCTCCCGAGCCCGAGGCCCTTCCTTTCTGGCGGGAGCGCGGTGGCCTGTGGACTTGGCGGCGTTGGGTGGGCGAGGGAAGCCCAGCCAGAGGCATGGAAACCGTTATACCAACCCCGTCCCATTTCTCCTTCCTCCCCAGCCCTCCACTTGGTCCACGATTATATCATTAGATCCAGACTATTTTAAGAAAACTCGATAAGGAAAGTGCCTACAAAGGGTCCTTGGCACAGGGCAGAGGGGGGCTCGTTACACAAAGGGGTTTGTGAAAGAGGAACTGCCTTCGGAGTTGTTTTTTAAACACTATTTTTTTTTTCTTTTTTTTTTACTTTTAAAGAAAAAGCGCATGCAGGGAGCCAGGGGCGCATGCAGGGAGCCAGGGGCGCATGCAGGGAGCCAGGGGCGCATGCGGGGAGCCAGGGGCGCATGCAGGGCGCCTGGGGCACAGCGGATCTGGGCGCCGGAGCGAGGTAGCGTCCGGGCCACCAGCAGGGCTCGGCCTCTGTTCCCGCGGGAGGGGGTAAGGCTGGCCTGGAGCTACCCTGAGGGCAGGGTAGCACGGGGGTGGGGGGGCATGAAAGACCCCCGGGTGACTTTGGGACTCACTCTGGTTTCCGGGCAGCCCTCTGCCCCTAAGGGAAATGCGTTCGGGGCCTTGGGCAAGAAAAGGCAGCCATTAGCTACAGGTCTCTAAAGCTGGCAACATTGGTGCAAAGCTCCCACAAGTTGGAGACTAGGGCTGACGCCTTGCGAGGGAAGCCTCTGCTCCAGGGTTTGTCGCAAAGAGCTCGCAGCGCCCGTCGCGGTTCCGCAGGCCAGCCTGGCGACCACGCCGCGGCCTTGCGTGTGCGGGGCAGCCTCAGCCGGGCTTTGCGAGCGCCGAGGCCAAGCCGCGCTCTGGCGGGCGTCGGGACATCCGGATGCGTTCGGAAATGCCCACCCTCTTCGGGGGTCCCTGCTGACCCGAGACTCGTTGGCAGGCCCTCTTCGAGGCCAGCACAGGCCTCAGCCAGGGAGGCACAGTCGCGGGCATCCCGGAGCGCCGCGCTCCTCGGAGCTGCCCCTCGGCGCTGCCCGGAGCCGGGCGGGCCCCAGACACCCGGGTCCGTGCGGACGGGAGCCCAGCGGGCGCCCCAAGCAGCAGCCCCGCTTCTCCCGAGCAGGGACACGGCTGCGTTCACGTGGCGCGCGCTCAGAGCGGTCTTGGGCGCGCAGTCAGGTCCTGGAGAGTTGACACTGTTCCTATAATTTTGTAGCTATTGCTTTTGCTTTATTATTAGTCTCCGGGCCCTGCAGCTCGTACCAACAACGGACTGTTAAGTCTTAAGGGGGCGCGGTCAAAGAAAAGCTTTCAGGAATTTCGATGCAGGAGAACCAGATTGCATCAAGGCGCGGGAAATCCAAGCCTGACATTCTCGGCTGGGGCACCCCCCAAAAAAGCCCTGCAAAGGCTGGGGCACCCGACTTTGCTTAAGGAGGAGCACCATGAGCTTCCTGGGCGTTTTGCAGCGGGTTCCTGGGCTGCCCTGCGGAACGGTGGAGTGTAGGGTTATCCACTCACTCCCCTGAGGATCGATGCTCTTTCATTCTCTATCCCCCTCTGTACCTTACCCTCAGATATACGGAAAGTCTGACTTTCTCTAATAAACACGGGGAGAATAAGAGAAATGACCGTTTAGCAGTTTTGTGTTTTGTGGGGGGGGTTTTTGTCCCCTAAAAATTCACAGCAGCAAGAACGCCTTGCAGACTTGAGGACATATACAAACAACTCCTAGCTATAAACTTAGTTATGTCGTAGAGCTCTGCCAGCTTGTTTATAAATATGTGTCTTAAGAGCCCTAGATTCCCTGAAAAACATTCGGTGTCTTTTAAATGAAAGACATATGATGCAAGCTCTATAGTACTTGTATACCAATAAAGGTTCAGCTCCTAGGAAAACTACAGGGAAGCCACGGAGGACAGCTGCCTAGTAGGTCCTT